ACGACGGCCGAACGAAAATAATTTTTTTTTTTTGTAGACGATGTCAGGTACAAAATGGTTTCCTCATCGTTACCGTTATTTCAATATAAACAGCTATTCGTTCGTATTATTTAATAAAGCACACAATCCTTTGGATGGAAAACAGGTGATTGTTCTCTCTCTCTCTCTCTTTAAATAAAATTCTTGTAATCTTTTTTTATTGTTAAATTAGTATTTGTTGATACCCGTGAAATAAATATTGAATCCCGTAATTATTTAAACCGATAACAAGATAGTGGTATAAAAAAAAACCAATAACAAGATAGTGGTAAAAAAAAAAAAACCAATACAAATATTATTTTTGCGGTTAAAAAAATTATTTCAAAACGACGGTTAAATTTGTCATCCGCCATTTTTATTCTGTTAAACCTTAAATGATCGAAACGGTTGAGTTTTTTTTCTTTAATCTTCCTTCAGAATTTTAACCGTTTAAATTCTAATATTATATAAAAGAAAATATTTTAATGGGTCGAATGATAGGTTTTAATAAAAGGTTTACCCAACCTGTATGTGTCTCGAATGATTCATGCAAAAAAAAAATCGATAAATAATTTATTTATAATATTTTTTAAATATTTATAAAATAGATAATAGTAGATGTTTAAATTTCAAGGACGGTGTAATAACAGAAAAAAATTATTTATTTTTTTTATTAAATACCTGAAAAAAAAAAATCGAATGACTTTGTATTCCTTAACAGGTACGGAAAGGAAATCTAATAGTAGTAGAGAATAAAAAAAAAAAAGGTATCATCGTATTTTTATCTGACACGTTGTTAGCAATTATTTTTCCACTTTGTACGTCATTTTAAAAATTTAAATTTAAATTATTATTATTATTATTGTTGTTGTTATTATTATTATTATTATTATTATTATTATTATTATTACGTACTATTGCCGATGCTATTACTTAAAATATCAGACTTTAAAAAAAAAAATTGGTAAAAGGTTATTGTAGTCGATTGTAATTATAAAATTATTCAATAGGATTTAATAATAATAATAATGAATTCGATAAGGTTTATGTAAAAAATTAAAGAGAGAGAGAGAGAGAGAGAGAGAGTTTGACGAAATAATCAAAGCGTAAAAATAACGATTTTTTTTTTGTAATAATAATGAATTTAATCGACGTTTCAAAAATTAATACTAATTTTTTAGTAAAACATCATCATTTTAAACTAAAAAATTTTTCTCTTGTAATTCTTCATTCATTTTTTTTCCATAACCGCCATTTTGTTAACAAAATTATTATTAATTCAGTTATAAAAATAAAATTGCATTCGTTTTCATATAGGTATGTTTTTCAGGTTGGGATTTTTTTATTTCGATTGTTATTAATAAACGTCAAAATATATTTTAAACTTGTCAAAAAAAAGGTTTTTGCTTAGATAAGTAAATAAATTTTTTTTGGCATTAATAAGTGTGTATTTTTTTTTTTTTTAAACTTAAAAAAGCCGTGAAATAGATGATTAGTAATGGTCAAAATATTTCACATCATTGTAAACGAGATTACCTTGCGTACCTTAAAAAAAAAATAAAAAATTAGTCATGATTTTTTTTTTTCTGGTATATAAATATAAATTAACCATCGTTTGAATCTTCAACAAGTTCGTTGGTTTATTACTTTTTTTTTTTTTTTTTGGTTTTATTTGTGGTTTTTTTTGCTTGGTATTTCCTCTTCTTCTTATTTTTCTTTACTGTAATTATTTGATCCTTTATTAAACGGGGGGAAGGGGGTGAAAGGGGGAAATTGAAAAAAAAAAAAAAAACATCATTCGAAAAATGATCTCTCTCAATTTCATTTTTTCATCTCTCCCCTTTATTATTATTATTACGGTTATTATTATTATTTTTTGTTGTAGTTCTTTTGGATGGATTGGAAAAATAAAAATTAAAAATGGGGGAGGGGATAGGGGGGAAATACAAAGCGGAAACGCGATATTTCTATCAATCAATAATAAGAAATTATTAAATTTATGTAATAGTCGCAAAATCTCAAAGTTTTATTTTTTTCTTTTTATTGAAACTTGCCGTTTCCTTAAACCGAATTTTTTAATTCTATTTAAATATTATCAATCAATCAATCACTCAATCAATCAATCAATCATTCGTTTTATCACCAAAACGTCGGTAATTTTCGTAGAAATTTAATTGAAAAATTATTTTTTGAATGTTTAAACGATGGAAATTCGTCATATCATTATCATTAAATTTTGCGGCACTGCAACATACACGAGCGTTTCATCATCATCATCATCATTATTATTACTATCATTATTATTATTACCGTTCGTTATTTACATTTAATTGATTTATTTAAACATTAAAATTATCGCACTTTTTATTATATTCGGGAATTTTAAATGTTGCATAAAGTATACGAGTAAATATTATTATTAACGATTATGATAGAAAATTTTTTTTTATTATTTTCTAAAAGGCGAGAAGGGGGGGACGGGGGGAAAATAAATTAAATAAAATCCAACGAATCACATTTTAACATTGGATTTTATTATCATTTTTACTAAACGATGAACAACAACATTAAAAAATTTAACTGTAAAGATTTTTTTAATATGATTACGTTATGGAATGAAAAAAAAAAATTCTTTCGGCTTTTATTATTATTATTATTATTTTGTCGCGAATGAATGAATGAATGAATGAATGAATTAAATCGAATAATATCTCACGAGGTAGCGAATTATATATTTTTTTTAATAAATATGGCAAAAAAAAAGAAAAAAGTGTGATTTTTTGTAACCGGATAGTTAATATTATTGTTTGTTGTTTGTTGGCAAAAAATTATTTATTTATTTATTTATTTATATGGAAAGAAAAAACCGTCGCGTGTGTGTGTGTGTGTGCGTGGGTATGTTTAACTTACTTTGTTAAAATCTATGTAGGACGTTATTGACTCTTTTCTTTTTTTTTTATTCATTAATTATTTATGTTTTTTTTTAAAAATGAAATTTTTAAGAAAAGAGCCAAAACAAAATAATAAAAATTTCCCCCCCCCCTCCCCACGAAAAAAGAAAAAAAGAAAAACACTTTCTTTGGGCAAAAAAAAAAAAATTACAAATTCATCCTTATTTTATCATCAATCATTCTTTCCAAATTATTTTTCTTCAAAAAAAATTTACAATGTTGAAGGTTAATAGAATAACGTGTGCCAAAAAAAAGAAAAAACTTATGTACATAATTTATGTAAAAACAATTTATCATGTTTGATATGTTTGACAATCGAGAAGAGAAAAAAAAAAATTCCGAAATGTGACCGAGTTTTTTTTTTTTTTTTGCGAAAAATTCAATTATTATTATTATTATTATTATTATTATTATT